AATCCCAGAGGTAAGCAAGGAGTCCAGTGGATCTGGTAAGTAAAATCCAAGTGACCCTAACTATATATGGATAGGTGAACAAAAAAACATTTAGAGATGAAGGTTCATCACTCCTCCCTAAATGGTGAGCATCTGGCTGAAGGGTTTGGTGAAGGTGCCACCATTTTTTAATGTCCCTTGAATTGGGAGTCACAGATTGGTTTGAGGAGATTTGACACCTCACGGGTTGTTTCTGAATCATGCTGTGAGATGAGAGTAGATGTTGTGAGGGGCATAGAGGGATCCTCATCCAAAACAGGGACAGTAGGGGAAAGGGCCGGTGTGGATAGGGGTGTGGTTTCTCTTAGATGTTGTTTCTTGGCAGGTCTTTAAGGTTTGCTGTTATGTTGTTTAGAGCAGGATTTATCAATGAATCCATGATGAAGATAAGGAGAAAAATTATAGCAACTGGTACACAAAAAGAAAAAAAAATATAAGGGTCAACAAAGGTATTTACAGTACATATGAGGATAAGTTATAGCCTTTCTGGAGCCAAGAGACCCAATGCTTCTTGTGAGCTGACTCCGCTTATGATGAGATGCTAGCACAGGATTTTGGCTGCTCAGACGTGGCTATTGGGAAGGTCTGCAAGGTCCCCTACACGCAGAGATTTTAGCCGCTTCTGAAGAGAACACTGGACTGACACAGTGAAGGTATTTGCAATGGCGCAGGAAGTAGTGGAGGCCTACAGGTTAAGTACAGCAAGGGATAACCTGCAGCCACAGGTGTACACCCCCTACCAGGGGAAAATAAAATGTTTGTTATACTGCAGTAGCCAATAAGGAATAACAAAAATAAAAGTCAACCAAGGTATGTACAGTCTATGAGGACATACATTTATAGAGACACCACTAGGTAGGAGAAGAAAAGCAGTCAGACATCAGTGCTGCATAGCTGTGGTCAGGGCCGGACTGGGGATATGAAGCAGCCCTGGAAAAAAATCTATGCCAGCCCCATAAGTCATTGGGCTATGTAGGGTGTTTATATATAAAGGAAAAAGTTAAAAGTTGCGCCAAATAAAACCAATAAATAAAAGAAAACAACAAATAAAAATAGTCCAATATAAAAAGAGAAAGTCCAATAAATATGAAATATGTCTTAGCTGGATAAATCTTCCTTAGATGCAGTAGTACATATAATGGTGAATCCGAGACAGTGTCCTCACTATTCTTCCTCAGATGGATCCAATAATATGAAAAGATAAAAACAGGTGACTACCATTTTACTATTTTTATCTCCAAATATTTTAAATAGAGAGCACTATTGGTTGTGTCTTTTTATTCTCTTTGAGTGACATCTACCCTTGAAGAAAAGAAAACTGTACCGTATCCTACAAGCGGGGATCTAAACCGCTGTACACTTTCCACACTAGAGCTAGTTATAGCTCTATTAAATGTGAGTGCTATAATATTTCTTTTATATTATCCACTATACCCTAACATACATACTACACTATCCTGGTCTCCTGTTTTTATCTTTTCATATTATTGGATCCATCTGAGGAAGAATAGTGAGGACACTGTCTCGGATTCACCATTATATGTACTACTGCATCTAAGGAAGATTTATCCAGCTAAGACATATTTCATATTTATTGGACTTTCTCTTTTTATATTGGACTTTTTTTATTTGTTGTTTTCTTTTATTTATTGGTTTTATTTGGCACAACTTTTAACTTTTTTCCTTTTCCTATTCTGTTTTAAGTGTTCTTGAGGGATTCCCTTTTAAGGTTGCTGCCTTATTTTGTTATTAACCACTAACCATTTTCCCCTTCTCTTTTTTATTTATATATATATATATATATATATATATATATGCAATTGAAATAGTTGGCTGTACTCTCAGATTTTCTTAAAACTTAACTTTTATTGAAATATTTAAGAGAAGATCAACGTTTCAGTCCCTCTTGTGGACTTGCATCAGGATCATGATGAAAGTCCACAACAGGGACTGAAACGTTGATCTTCTCTTAACTATTTCAATAAAAGTTAAGTTTTAAGGAAATCTGAGAGTGCAGCCAACTATTTCAATTGCCTGGATACTGAAGCCCTGGTGATGCACCCGGTCACACAACTTTGAAGCCTGTGTGCAAGGTACAACAGCTCATATATATATATATAATGGAAATTGTATTCATACTTACCGTAATTTTCTTTTCCTGGTCATAGGCCATGGCAGCACAACATTGGGTAGCTCCTCCCTATCCTGATTGGACAGGAATAATAATTAAGCAGTATAAGTACCACCTTCTACCCCTCCTTCCCCAGTCTTGTTTTCAGCAATAGCCCTGGGTGGGAGCCTTGTGCTGCCATGGCCTATGACCAGCAAAAGAAAATTACGGTAAGTATGAATACATTTTCCATTTTCCTGGCCATTTCCATGGCAGCACAACATTGGGTAATACCCAAGCAATAACCCAGGGAGGGAAGAAGACACAGACTCGAAAATTTTGAATGCAAAGTGTATTAGCACCACAATCAAGTGACAAAACAAAGAAATCACATATCGGATACTGATAGAATGGATTTAGCAAATTGATCTGATAAACCTGCTCTGACATCAATTTGGTAACTCCTAATGAATGTATTGGTTGAAGACCATGTGGCTGCCTTACAAATGAGTTCAGGAGAGACTTTGGCTGCGGCTGCCCAAGAGGATGAGAGGAAGACCCACAGGGACCGGACATTCTGAAGATTAGTATACTTGTATAATAGCTGCCACTATCCACCTGCTAATGGTAGATTTGGGGGCTTGCATTCCCCTTCTACTACCGTTATGAAGGACCAAGAGACTTTGAGAAGTGCGCCAAGCGGCAGTTCTCTCAATATATATATGAAGGCATCTTACTAGGTCCAGAGATGACAGGTCTGTTTTATCCTCTTCTTCTTGGAGTTCAGACCTCAGAGATGGAAGAACGATATCTTCGTTGATATGAAAAGCGGAGGTGACTTTAGGTCTAAATTCAGGAATTGTACGGAGGATAACTCTTTCCTTGTGAAAGACCATAAAGGGCTCCTCAATGGATAGGGCGTGAAGCTACGACACTCTCCTGCCGGAAGCTAAGGCAATCAACAAGGCCGTTTTGATAGAGAGAAATTGTAGAGGAATAGATTCAAAGGGCCCTAATTTTAAGGCATTTAGAACCAAAGGCAGATCCTAGGAGGGAACAAATGGCTTAATTTGAGGTTTAATTTTAAGGACTCCTTTAATGAACCTGATAACATCCGCGTCCAATGTCCACCTGTGATTCGTCAAGGCGGACAAAGCTGAAACGTGTACCTTTAATGTATTATAACTTAGGCCTTTATTAAGACCAAAATAGATAGATCTGGTACACCTAATGTGATACACAGCAAAGAGGGAGGAGGACTAAAACTAAATAGCTACTAACTAGGAAGATAGGGTTCCACTAAAACCTATATAGAATAAAGAAAAAGCACTAAAAAGTGGAAAAACACTGAAAAATGCAAAAGACCTAGGAGCTAATAAGTATGACTCAAAAATCTGGATAAGAAATGCTGGATAAAATCTGTATAAAATACTTCAAGGATATAACAATAAAAATGGGACTAAAAAAAAGGGGACTCAAAAATGGGTACTATGCCTTTAAGAAAAATATATCAAGGGTAGGACTCTAAAATGTAACTGATAAATTCTAAAACTTAATCATATGACTCAAAAATCCGGAAATGAAATGCTGGATAAAATCTGTATAAAATACTTCAAGGATGTATCAATAAAAATGTGACTAAAAAAGGGGGACTCAAAAATGGGTACTATGCCTTTAAGAAAAATATATACAGGGTAGGACTCTAAAATGTAACTGATAGATTTTAAAACTTAATAATATGTGATATATAAAAACAGAGGATGAATCAAATAAGAAAAAATAAATAAAAAATAAATGATTAAAATAAAATAAAAAATAAAAATAAAAATAAAAATAAAAATAAATGCTCCTAACAGTGCAAGGTGCAGTAAAATACTGTCCCTGAAAAAATACAGGATAACAAATAGTTAATACTTGCACCTAAATAATATGCTTTGTATAGACAAAGTTGCAAAACAAGCACTACAGTATGAGGAACTGTGTGCTAAAATAAATAATGTAGCGTGGATACAATGTAGAAAGAGAGAAACTGGATAGAAATGCAAAGTCCAGTTTATTAAAAATAAATATAGATAAAATATGAATTAATCAAAAATGATGGTCAATTCATGTGCAAATGTATGTTACCAGTCCAATGAAGTCCACAAATATTCACAGACCCTCGGAATCAGCCAGGATGGATGTGGATTGACTTGGCAGCTCTTGCTCTGGTGCTCTGTGGTCTGTCTGCCGGTTGAGGACGGCGTGCAGATCGATGTGTGTGTCCCAACACGGACCTCACTCCGGGGGTGTGCACAGTGAATAGTCTAAGTCCACAGGTTCACCAAGGGTCGTGAGCAAGTGGGTGCTTCTAATGCTGGTTACTAGCACAGTTCAAAGAGATGCTTCAGTCTAACGCGTTTCGTGAGGAAATAGCCTCACTTCTTCAGAGACATATCCGGATTTTTGAGTCATATGATTTAGTTTTAGAATTTATCAGTTCCATTTTAGAGTCCTACCCTTGATATATTTTTCTTAAAGGCATAGTACCCATTTTTGAGTCCCCTTTTTTAGTCATATTTTTATTGTTATATCCTTGAAGTATTTTATACAGATTTTATCCAGCATTTCATATCCGGATTTTTGAGTCATATACTAATTTGCTCCTAGGTCTTTTGCATTTGTTAGTGTTTTTCCACTTTTTAGTGTTTTTTTTTAATTCTATATAGGTTTTAGTGGAACCCTATCTTCCTAGTTAGTAGCTATTTAGTTTTAGTCCTCCTCCCTCTTTGCTGTGTATCACATTAGGTGTACCAGATCTATCTATTTTTCACTTACGTAATTCCACTATTTGAGGTTTTAGAGGAGAACTATGGCTCTTAATAGAAATATTGATTCCATTCGACAAGATAGAAAATCTTTTATGGATACATGGTCTCTTAAGAAAGATGAAATTCCCTGTACTCAATCAACTCGATCACCACAGAAACAATGTGATAGTGTTAAGACTCTTATCTATAAACTAGGCAAGACAATGGAGAAAGAGGTACATGTATGGTGGGACATAGCAACCCTGGACTTTTATGTAAATAACAATATAGTCCCAAGGGGTCTCAGGTTATACAAACGACTTGCCTACAAGCGTAATGAGCCAACCCTTCTTAAAAAATGGGACCAATTGCTAGATAAAGGCTCATTACTGCTAATGGTATTCCTCATTAACGAGAAGAAAAAAGATCTCACACAACTAGATCAAGAAATCAAGGATTTAAAAACATCTATCCGACCTCTAGTTGAGAGTGGGGAATATGTCGAATTATTAGAGAAGATGGAAAAAAGAGTAAAAGATATTGAGATGAATATTAGAGAAATTAAAAAGAAGAAAATTGTAAGAGATCAGACTGATTATAAGACTCTTACACAGAGGAATTGGAAAAAGGATCAAAGACCAAGACACTATTCCCCCGCGAAACCTAGAACAGATCACAGCCCCCAACGATATTTATCCTATAGGGATGCCTTGGTTTCACATAAAACCCCTCTTAGGGACTTCGGTAGGGAGGTGACCCATACCAGACATCCACATAATACAAGATATGAAGTCCCATATACAAGATACTATTCGAATTATCATTCTAAACACTATAGAAAGAAAACTCAACACCAAAACTACTACCGGAATTCTGAGTATAGACAACCAGAGAATCGTTCTCAAGAACGCAGGCAGCAAACACAGTTTCTAACCACTAATAAGAAATCACCAGAACACTCTAATCCCCAAACATCCACTACTGGAGCCTTGACTACAGAGTCGAGACGATTTTCCCCACAGAATAAAGATTCACGTTCATCGATCGTCAATATTGCAAATGATTTTTTAGAGGTACGGGGGAGAGTTCCCCCCAAACTCTTCTCAGAAGAAGATTTCAGGTCTCCAGTAGTGAGAAGAAAAAGAACCATAGAAAATCGAGAAGGAGAAGTAGACCAACACGAAGAACAGATATTATTCAAGAGGAGGAAATAAATATTTTTAATTTGTCCAGTAGGAATTTAACACCAGAGGAACTTTCCCTTCTGAAAAAAGGTTTAAAATTTGCACCAACATCTAAAAATTCTAGTTTTAACATGTGTATAGATCTACACAAATTCATAAGGAAAATTTCAATTAAGAAGTTCTTTTTAGATAAAGAAGTGACACAGCAAGAAACGGATCAACAATATGTCCATACTGAACTACATTCTAATTCAACGTTTTACCCTCAACATGTTAAAACTGATGCAATTAAAGTCTTTGAAAGAATGGTCGAGAAAGACTTTAAGAACAAAATCACTAATAAGATCACTAGAGATAATCTTACTAGGAAGGAGAGGATGGCATTGAAACAACTCATAAAACTTGAAGAAATCACAATCAAACCCGCGGATAAAGGAGGTGGCCTAGTTATTTTAAACACCGAAGACTATACGAGTGAGAATCAAAGGTTGTTAAGTGACACCAATACTTATTTGAGACTGGACTCTGATCCCACTTCCCAATATCAAGAGGAACTAAAACTTATTCTTAATTATGGTAAAGAAAGGGGTATCTTGAATGAGAGGGAATTTAAGTATTTATTCACTCAATTCCCGAGAATACCAGTATTTTATCACTTACCCAAGATACACAAGAGTTTAGAACAACCTCCGGGAAGACCCATTGTATCGGGTATTGGATCTCTCACTGCAAATCTTTCCCAATATGTTGACCAGTTTTTACAGAATTTAGTCTCATGTCTTAAATCGTATCTAAGGGACTCTACACAGATTTTAAACCTTTTATCGGATTTTAATTGGGATAAAGATATGATTTTAGTCACTGCTGATGTCACCTCCTTATATACTGTTATTGAACACCTCCAGGGGTGTGAGGCCATCCAATTTTCTCTGGCCACATATTCACTTTTTAAAAATGATCAAATTGATTTTTTAATTCAATGTATTGTTTTTATTTTAACACACAATTATTTTTGGTGTTACGACTGTTTTTATCTACAAATAGAGGGGAGAGCCATGGGGACACGATTTGCGCCAAGTTATGCTAATTTATTTATGGGCAAGTGGGAAGAGGAGTTTGTATGGAACAACTGCCCATTTGGCGCAAATCTGTCCCTGTGGCGTAGATACATTGACGATTGTTTTTTTATATGGAAAGGAGATTTGGAATCGTTAGAGCAATTTAAAATCTACCTTAACAATAACCCCTACCATCTACAGTTCACTTTTAACCACTCTAGAGAGCAAATTTAATTTTTGGATCTGGATATCTTCATTGAAAAAGGAAGTATACATACTAAAACTTTTAAAAAGAAGGTTGACTGTAATAGTTTTATCCCTTTTAACAGCCATCACAAGTCTACTTGGTTAAAAAATATACCTCAGAATCAATTTAGGAGAGTTAGACGTAATTGTTCCCAAACCGATATCTGTCTACAGCAAATGCAGGAGATGAAAGAAAGATTCGTAGAGAAAGGATATCCCTTAGATTTATTGGGAGAAGCCCTAAACAAAGCAATGGAGACACCGAGAGAGGTTACATTACTTAAAACACAAACTACTGGATCTTTCTCTACTGCACCTGCTTTTATTACACAATACAATCATCAGTCTTCTCAGGTACAAAAAATTTTGAAAAAACATTGGGGGATTTTAGAGCAAGATCCAACTCTTTCCGGATTTCTTGACCACCAACCACGTGTCATTTTTACGAAGGCACCCAATCTTCAAGTAATGTTGGCACCTACTATGAAATCCTCCCATGAGACCACAAACCACGATATCACTCATGGTTTCATACGTTGTAGAAAATGTCTACCATGTAGAAATAACCCAACCATGGACCATACAACGACCACATTTAGATCTCAGACAAGTCAGGAGGATTTTAAGATCAGGAGCAATATGAATTGTAGTACTTCAGAAGTGATTTATTTGATAACCTGTCCCTGTTCAAAGCAATATATTGGACGCACGAAAAGAGCTTTAAAAATACGAATTGCGGAACACATCAGGAACATCAAAAAAGGACTATTAACTCACAATCTTTCCAAACATTTTAAAGAAGTACATGGCTCCCCAGTGGGGGGGTGGTAGTATTGACAAAATTTTAGATCAAACTGAGGCTAGATGGATCTTTCAATTGGACACTCTAATTCCTAAAGGACTTAATGTTGACTTTGAACTTCATGCTTTTTTATAAGTATACTCTTTTATAGGATATATTTATTATTACTATTTTTTTTTTCTTCACATATATATATTCACTTCTAGCTTCACTTATTTTATCTCTTTCATTACATCTCCTATTTGAAATATTTCTGACTATATTATTTTATATATTATTTCTCTCACCACTACACATTATATACAGATGTTACCACTTATATATTTCACATATATGGTGCTTGGTCACTTTGTAATTGTATCATCCCTATTCTAATGAAGGTTCCCCATATGTATTAGAAATGGTTTGGATCCTTTTACACTACTTTGGCACTCCCTTTCACATATACTTAATCTATCATTGGGAGTTATTTCACATATCACATATCACATATTTGAACACCACATGTTATTATATTTTCTTTGTATCCTTTTATGTATTATTCATCATTCTATTTCTTACCATATATTTTTTCATTATATATTTTTCAATAGTACCTCAAGCTATCAGATCACCATTTTTATTATTTACTTATTTCAGGCTACCCAAATGTTGCTATATTGTAGATCTGTTAGTTCATATGTATTGATGTATATGTACTTAAATCTCATTAAGCAATTATGGTGATTATTATACTAATATATTTTTATACATCTGTAATGATGATGATGCCTACAGTACATATTGTTTGTTACTTATTAATATTTTTTATATAATTGTTTTTATCTCTGTTATCTTAATGCTCCATATTGTAATATTTTGTATATACTTGCAATACTGATAATGTATATATGTCATATCTATTTATTATTGTTTTTTACTTTGAGGCTCTACACTAATTAGCACAATGTGTATTTAAGCGTGGCTGCAACATCAGTCTGCAATATGTCTCTGAAGAAGTGAGGCTATTTCCTCACGAAACGCGTTAGACCGAAGCATCTCTTTGAACTGTGCTAGTAACCAGCATTAGAAGCACCCACTTGCTCAGGACCCTTGGTGAACTTGTGGACTTAGACTATTCACTGTGCACACCCCCCGGAGTGAGGTCCGTGTTGGGACACACACATCGATCTGCACGCCGTCCTCAACCGGCAGACAGACCACAGAGCACCAGAGCAAGAGCTGCCAAGTCAATCCACATCCATCCTGGCTGATTCCGAGGGTCTGTGAATATTTGTGGACTTCATTGGACTGGTAACATACATTTGCACATGAATTGACCATCATTTTTGATTAATTCATATTTTATCTATATTTATTTTTAATAAACTGGACTTTGCATTTCTATCCAGTTTCTCTCTTTCTACATTGTATCCACGCTACATTATTTATTTTAGCACACAGTTCCTCATACTGTAGTGCTTGTTTTGCAACTTTGTCTATACAAAGCATATTATTTAGGTGCAAGTATTAACTATTTGTTATCCTGTATTTTTTCAGGGACAGTATTTTACTGCACCTTGCACTGTTAGGAGCATTTATTTTTATTTTTATTTTTATTTTTATTTTTTATTTTATTTTAATCATTTATTTTTTATTTATTTTTTCTTATTTGATTCATCCTCTGTTTTTATATATCACATATTATTAAGTTTTAAAATCTATCAGTTACATTTTAGAGTCCTACCCTGTATATATTTTTCTTAAAGGCATAGTACCCATTTTTGAGTCCCCCTTTTTTAGTCACATTTTTAGTCACATTTTTATTGTTACATCCTTGAAGTATTTTATACAGATTTTATCCAGCATTTCATTTCTGGATTTTTGAGTCATATGATTAAGTTTTAGAATTTATCAGTTACATTTTAGAGTCCTACCCTTGATATTATTTTTCTTAAAGGCATAGTACCCATGTTTGAGTCCCCTTTTCTTAGTCCCATTTTTATTGTTATATCCTTGAAGTATTTTATACAGATTTTATCCAGCATTTCTTATCCAGATTTTTGAGTCATATACTTATTAGCTCCTAGGTCTTTTGCATTTTTCAGTGTTTTTCCACTTTTTAGTGCTTTTTCTTTATTAAGACCAGACTGCAGAAACTCCAAAATATGCGTGGAAGAAGGATTCTGCAGATCAACGCATTTAGCAAGAGCCCAGGTGGGAAAAACTTCCCATACTCTATAGTAGGTGGCTGAAGTGGAATGCTTTTGTGCCTTCAGCATAGTGTCTATTACAGCTTGGGAGAAGCCTTTGTTCGCAAGCCTGTCCCTTTCAGTCTCCAAGCCATGAGATTGAGTGAAATTGGGTTTGGATGCAACACTGGACCCTGGAACAGTAGATCCAGAACTTTGGGGACTTGGAGTGGAGGTTCCACAGAAAGACTTTGGAGCAGAGGAAACCAAGGTCTTCAAGGCCAATAAGGTGCTATCAGGATGAGAGATACCTGCTCTGTTCTCATCCTCCTCAGGATTGGGAAGATCAATGGAAATGGAGGGAATGCATACCCCATTTTGAATTTCCGGGGACTGGATAAAGCGTCTCTTCCCAGTTCCAGACGGTCTTCCTCTTTCGTGAAGTAGTCCTTCACCTTACTGTTAACACAAGTAGCTAGTAGGTCTATTTGAGGGAGACCCCACTTGTCTACAATGGTGCAGAATACTCTGTCCGATAGGCACCATTCCCCTGGGTCTATCCTGGATCTGCTGAGGAAATCTGCTAGTTGATTCCGTTTCCTTGGTAGATGGATGGCTGTAAGGCCTGCCAGATTCCTCTGAACCCACCACATTAATTGCTTCATAATTTCTATCATTTTGCCGCTCCTGGTTCCTCCTTGATGATTGACATAGGATACCACGGTGGTGTTGTCCGTTCTTATCTTTACCCAT